TTGTGTGAGAATTGGCGTTGTGTGTGTGACTAAGAGAAGGAAGGGGTCAGGGAATTGTGCAGCAGGTGTCCGAATGAAGTCGGAGGCACTGACACGAACTTGTAGTTTTATATCAATAAACATATTTTACATCCATACTTACAGCAAACCAGGTACTCAGGCAAACAGGAGCATCCTGAGGTAAATCACAGAACACACGGGGCACACAGAAGGAAAAAGGCGGGGGGGGGAGCGAATCTCCCCCTCTACACCTACAGAATAGAATAGAATAGAATAGAATAGAATGTGGAAGGGACCTTAGAGGTCTTCTAGTCCAACCCCCTGTTCAAGCAGAAGAACCTATACAATTTCAGATAAGTGACTGAAATGATATAGGTTCTCCTGCTTGAGCAGGGGGCTGGACTAGAAGACCTCCAAGGTCCCTTCCACATTCTATTCTATTCCTTTTCTCATCTCTTTTCTCTTCTCATCTCTTCTCTTCCTCTTCCTCTTCTCATCTCTTTTCTCTCCTCCTCTCTATTGTTGCAGGTGTCTCTTCCAGCTTTTAATTTATATTTTCTTCAGAGTGACACCCTTCCTAACCCAAGAGAGAAGCAATCTGGAATTAAGGAGAGACTTCCTAACATAGAAAAAATAGCAGAGATGGAAGGGACCTTGGAGGTCTTCTAGTCCAACCCCCTGCCTAGGCAGGAAATCCTATACCGTTCCAGACAAATAGCTATCCAACATCTTCTTAAAGACTTCCAGTGTTGGGGCATTCACAACTTCTGGAGGCAACTTCTGTTCCACTNCTGCCTGAGTTTGTCTGAGTTGCTGCCAAGGTCCTTATCTGTTTGTTCTGGTTGTGTGTAGCTTTTTAGTTGTTGATTTGGGGTGTTGATGGCCGGTTATTGCCTGTTGTTTTCTTGTGCTGCCAAGTCCTGATAATCTGGTGGTAAATCATCACTCCTGTTGATTGAGAGGTGGCTTGTTTCCCAGGCTTCAATCATTTCCCTGGCTGTTTTTGTGCCTGCTCGTCCAGCAATCTTAGTAGAGGTGAAATTGAATGCATGTCCTCGTTCCCTGCAATATGAGGCTACCAATGAATTTGGGTCTCCTCGTCTGACCACTCACTTGTGTTCTTGCAATCTGGTGCTGAGCACGCAGCGCACATTCTGGTGTGAGGGAAGTTCCCTCAGGATGGGTTACGGCGCAAGTCCGAATGCTCGGAAGACTAAACATCTGGTCCTGGGGACTGATCCAGGTTGGATCCTGCCATTTATTCTTGGTTGTTAGCCAACCATTGAAAAAAAATAAAATAAAGATAAAAGTAAGCCATGAAAGACGAGGAAGTTTTTGTTTTTCAAAGAAGGGTCAACAATATTATTCAGAAGGTGAAATGATTTAAATCAGGGATGTCAAACTCAAGGCCCAGGGGCCGGATCTGGTACCATGGGGTACTTAGATCCAGCCTCAAGGCTGCCCTGGAAACAGCAGACCGCCCTGCGGTGCTTCTGTCAGAAAAAACTACCTCACAAGCTCCGTTTTCAACTGCCACGGCCTCCTGCAACCCTCAGCGAGTGAAAACAGACCTCGGGAGGGCCCTCCGGAGCTCCATTTTCACTCGCCAGGGGCTGCAGGAGGCCGTGGCAGCTGAAAACGGAGCTCGGGAGCCTGTTTCCGCTATCAGAATACTCGGGCTACCACAGGCGCCTCCGACAGGAGTGACGTCCAGCTGGCCATGCCCCCTGGCCACGCCCACCCCATCCCCCCAAGGTCAAACACATCCCCTGATGCGGCCCTCGTTGAAATCGACTTTGACACCCCTGATCTAAGTGATGTTGAGCTGTGAAGATTTAATTTAGGGCTGAGGGGAAATCTTACGTGCCGAAGGGAAAACGGGGGATGCTCAGAAAGAGTTTGAGGGGTTAAAAAAAAAAGAGAGGAATTTATTTTTTCTAATTTGTGTGTCCAGAACAAAACGCAGCCTCGCAGTCTGTTTCGGAGACGGCAGCTTCGACTCGCCATCTCGAAAGCGATTCCACTTCAATTTATTTAGTCATTCTTGAATGTTGCCGCAGTTGATCTATGGCGATTAAATTTATGTTCTGAGAAGCCCTCAAAAAGTAGATAATAAAATTAAGAAAGATTTTTTTAAAATGTAATAAAGATAATACATTTTGACAATCTGAGTTCACAGACAGCTCGGCTACTGGCAGGAATTCAAATTATGTTACCAATGCAATTGAAAGGCACCAGGCACAAAAGCTATGAGTTTATGGCACCTAAGCCCTGCTAAGGAAAAAAAATATGCCACCTTATTGCTCTTTATTATTATCATTATAAATTAATAATTATATAACAATGGAACCGTAATTATTATAAAGATGTTTCCTCCAGTATTCCTATTTAGAGCCGAGGTGGCTCAGTGGTTAGGGTGCAGTACTGCAGGCCACTTCAGCTGACTGTTATCTGCAGTTCGGCGGTTCAAA